ATTGTAGAGAAGCCCGGCCCAATGAAAGTCACCTCTGGAGACTCTTGTACTCTAGAATGCACAGTGGACGGCACACCGGAGCTTACCACTAGGTGGTTTAAGAATGGGAAAGAGCTGTCTACTAATCAGAAATACAAAATTAGCTTCTTCAACAAAGTGTCTGGGCTCAAGATCCTCAATGCAAAAGTAGAAGACAGTGGGGAGTATACTTTTGAGGTGAAAAACAGTGTTGGTCAAAGCAGGTGCACAGCTTCAGTGCGTGTTTCAGGTTAGTTGATTAACTTGTGAATTATCTTTGATTCTTACCATTTCTTCAAAAGGCGTTACACAACACGCTGCTTCCTTCGGTATCATGTCAGGCTGCTGCCACTTTGGGAAGACTCACTGCTAATGTGACCTAAGGCACCCTGTGTGGGTCCGCTAGTGTTGTGGAGATCATGGAGGGAGGAAGTAGGTTGAAGCCTTCATCACATTTTTCACCTGTCACAAAGATGAGGCTGTTGCTTGGGGTCAGTCTCATCAATTGAGTCTGCACATCCCTGATGGTGCAATACTGTTCTTCTCCTTATGAGGAATTATTGAAAAATAAAAGGAGAAAGGTGACCCTCAGAAGGGGTGAGTTGACAACTCGTTCTTATCTTCTCTCAGTACCTCAGGCCTCAATGGGTTGAATTGTAGGCCTGTTTTGGATTCTCCCAGGCAAACGTAGGTCTGCCAAAGGAAAGTGCGGTGTTTCTGCTAACTGCCTGGGAACCATCAACCTGTTGTAATATTTATAGCTGTGTTTCATCCTATACAGATCGCATTTTACCTCCTTCTTTCACGAGAAAGCTGAAAGAAGCCAGTGGTCTCTTGGGTTCGCATGTTGTCCTGGATTGCAAAGTGTCTGGGTCACCACCTATTTCTGTTTCCTGGTTCCATGACGGACATGAGATCACTAGTGGAGACAAGTATCAGACGACTCTCACAGACAATACTTGCACTTTGAAAGTGAACACATTAGAGGAATTTGATATGGGAACTTACTCATGCACAGCTACCAATATAGCTGGATCGGATGAATGCAGTTCATATTTGACTGTTAGAGGTTAGTATCTAGAACAAGGCAGAGCTTCCAGATATAAACTACTTTCTTTGTGGATTGCTTACATTTTTGGGTCTGTTTATATGAGTCTAATCGCCTGTGTTTCGTATGGGAATCTTTTACTCTTCATCAAAGTGCACTTGTCTTTTCTGTGTGTCTTTAGAACCTCCTTCTTTCGTGAAGAAACCTGATCCCCTGCAAGTTTTATCTGGGGAAAATATAACCTTTACCAGTATCCTACAAGGCACCCCTCCACTGGATGTTAAATGGTTTAGAGGTAGCGTTGAACTAGTACCAGGACATAGATGCAACATCTCCTTGGAAAATTCAGTTGCAGAACTGGAGCTGTTTGACGTACAGCCACTCCAAAGTGGAGACTACACCTGTCTGGTCACAAATGAGGCTGGCAGAGTTTCTTGCACAACACAGCTCTTTGTAAAAGGTTTGTCAGGCTTGAAATTTCACACGTTCCTCTAAAAAAATCTCTTGGTGTCAACTTTTAACTTTTATCTTTGTATTGTTCACTGTAGAACCAGCCAAATTTGTGAAAAAACTGAATAATCTCAATGTGGAGAAAGGAAAACCATTAATTCTGGAATGCACATACTCTGGTACCCCTCCGATTGCAGTCTTGTGGAAGAAAAATGGAGTTGAAGTAGCTCATTCTGCCAAATGCAGCATCACTACCACAGAAACCTCTGCCATACTGGAAGTTCCCAGTAGTAAAGTAGAAGATCAGGGACAGTATACTTGCCACATTGAGAATGATTCTGGGCAAGATAATTGTCACTGTGCAGTCTCAGTATTAGGTGTGTCCTCATTCCACAAGGGATCTTTTTTATAGTAATAGTCGTGGTATTTAAATTTTGGTACTAATGATGTGTCTTTGTTCTTTAGAACCACCTTATTTTGTTACACGCTTGGAACCCGTTCAGGTGACAGTTGGGGATTCTGCATCATTACAATGCCAAGTTGCTGGCACCCCAGAAATTATTGTATCATGGTACAAAGGAGATACAAAACTAAGAGCAACTCCTACCTCTAAAATGTACTTTAAGAACAATGTTGCCACTTTGGTTTTCAGCCAGGTGGATAGCGGTGATAGTGGGGAGTATATCTGCAAAGCAGAAAACAGTGTTGGAGAGGCTTCTTCATCAGCTTTGGTTTCTGCTCAAGGTGAATAAATCATGTTAACACATTTAAAAGGTTGCATAACTAAAGGGTTGTTTTTTTCAGTAAAGAAAAGTGTCTTCTTAGGAACATTACGTTCCTCTAACTGACCAACCCTGTCTAGAATCCCCTCAGCATTGATTACCTTCCACCAGTGAAAGTCTGCTAGAAATTAATTCCTAATACCAATCTTTAGTTAACCAACGCTCTTTCTAAGTGATACAGGCTTCTGATTCTTCCCCTTCAGAATAGGGCATTCATGAATGAAGTTATTCTTCCAGCTCTTCCCAATGCAGAAAGTGTGAGATTATAAATTAAATGTTATGGCAAATTTCTATCCTCATGTATAATTTTGTAACCACATTGACTGGTAGTCCACATCCTGGCAGAGCTCTCCCTTAACACCAGCCCCCAAGCTAAATGATCTAACAAATAATCTCCTTGATTCTTTGTGGGCCTCTTATTTTTTTTTATTATGTAAATTGGTTGAAAATAATGACTGGATCTTCCAGTGTATCTTCTTGTAAATCTGCCCAATCTATACCACAATACAGTGTCTTCTTAGGCAGTGCTTATTGGAGAATTCACCAAAGCTAGATAACTTCCCAAAATTTTTGTTGTTCAATACTTTCCTTGCAGAGCGTAAACTTCCTCCTTCAGTCACACGAACTTTGAGAGACATTCATGAAACTGTTGGCTTACCAGTTACATTTGATTGCGGAATCACCGGCTCAGAACCTATTGAAGTATCCTGGTCTAAAGACGGCGTACATATCCGAGATAGCTACAATGTGCAAACCTCCTTCTTAAATAATGTAGCAACTCTCCAGTTTTTGCAGACTGACAAGAGCCTTGCTGGGCAATACACTTGTACAGCTTCCAATGCTATTGGAACTGCTTCTTCCAGTGCCAGGCTTGTGCTTACAGGTTGGTTGGTTATTAAATAATTTCCCTTTAACGTCACCAGGTCATTTTAAAATTTCCATTCTCAACTTAAAACAATAGGTGCGACATTTATTTATTTAACAATATGCTTTAAACTAATTGAGCTTTTAAAAGCTATATGTGTTTTTCTGTTTCTTTCACCCTGTAGAAGGGAAGAATCCTCCATTGTTTGACATCCCAATTGCACCCACGGATGCTTTTGCTGGGGATAGTGCTGACTTTGAATGTCACATATCAGGAACACAACCAATTAAGGTCACTTGGGCAAAAAATAACCAAGAGATACGGACTGGAGGAAAATACCAGATCAGTTATGTAGAAAACATAGCCCATTTGACAATTCTGAATGC